TGCTATCTACTTTTTATTACTTAGTATCCATTATTTACTAAATTTGAATGCTATATCAAACAAGTCCTTAGTTGCGCAATGAACAAAATGGGATGTTCGGATCTCTTTAATAAAATACTTTTTAATATGAAAGTTGCATGGTGGTCATATCGGGGATGTAGCTCAGATGGTAGAGCGCTCGCTTAGCATGCGAGAGGTACGGGGATCGATACCCTGCATCTCCATTTCTTTTTTTTTAATCTAAAAGTGCCTTAATATTTTCACCATCTCAACAAAGTTCTTTTTTTTTTTTTTAATGTTCATTATTCAAAAAATGTTGTCCTCTCAATTCTATGTTGATAAAACGGATACTCTATTGTTTGATACAATTAAGGATGAGTGTTCTTAATATTGAAAGATTTTTGGTAATTGTTTATCATTGTCAATACCATGCTGCTTCTAATTTTTTTTTACAATGATACTGCACTAAAAAAAATTATTTACTAGTACCATGTCATTTTGTCATATAATCTCATACATAAAGCAAAATTTTCAACAATGATTCTTAAAATTTTGAATATCTAATTAAATTAAGCAAAATCAAATAAAAAATGCAAAATTTAAAAAGTGAAAAAAAAAGGAGAAAAATCAAAAGAAACTCCTCATTTGCAATAAAAATAAAAACGTAAAGAAAATAAATATATTTTGACAAACAAGAGGCATTCATTAATACTTTATAGCAATTTTATTTCTATAATTATTGTATTTGAAATCATTACTATCGTGTCGTCATTTACTAATTCAATAAGCCATTTTTGTTGCAGAAGTAACAAAGCAGCACTCACCCCCAGGCACAATCAAGCATCCCCTACTAACTTTCTTGTGAATAGAATCCATCAAATTAAGCTTAGTAACAATTTAGCCTCTTCCCTTCAACTAAACATCAAAAGCCACCTAACAACATGTGAGGGAACTATCCTAAAGGAAAATTCACCTTCAACCCATGAAACATCAGAATGAATGTTACACTTTCCCAATCCAAAAAGACCCTTCCACCGCCTCCTAATACCAAGCCTTTTGCACAACACAAACTCCACATGATCCAACACTATTGAAGACCAAAGAAGTTGCTTGCCACAAACACAAACCAAATGCCAATGTTCCCCCACTGAAAACCCAAGAGAAACCAACCTTACAAGGCCACCACAAACCTAAATAAAAAGGACACAGAGCCGCACAAGGTGACATACCAACTCGATCCATTAACAGAGACACAACAAGGATGCATATAAACTCCCACAAGAAGGACATGAGCCACACCCAAACCCCTATTAAAAGGGGTATGCTTCGCAAAAGGGATTCACTACCCAATTACAAATTGTCCTATGGGCTGTGGCCCAAATTCCGAGGATAAACTCTATTTTTGAGTAATGAGGAATTCATAAGGGTATATTGGTAATTTCATAGAGAATATTTGTAGACTAGAAGCATTGCCAATTTTTGATTTTATAAAGAATAAAAAATTAATAAATACACTGTCAATTGATTAGTAATATTCTTTTTGTTTAATTTTAGTAGGCGTCTCTTTATTTAACTTTATTAGGTATAGGTTTTTTTTAACAGAATGAAAATATAATAATTAATTAATTAAATTTTATATTTATTTTTAATTAATTATTACTTAAATAATTTTTTTTATTTAGTGTATGTTCTAATTTTTTTAAAAATAAAAGTAAAATAAAAATAAGTGTATTTAATAGCATTCTAAAAATAAAAAATAAATAACTAAATTTAAACATTTCAAATTAGAAATTAAGTCTATTAATATTAAACAAAGAGAATAATGCTTTATTTTTTTTATAGAAAGTAATAAAGCATTATTGTTAAATGAATCTTTTACAAAATTATTCTCATAAATTTGATACTCACCTTAAAATAATAGAAAATTTCCAATTTTATTATCTTTAAATTAAGAATTTGAAAATAATTTATATATTTTTAACTATATTACCTAAAACAATAAAAAAAATTATGATAAAATAAATAATTAAATTTAAAAAATAATAATATTATTAAATAAGACAAGTGTATTGACCTCCTTAAAGTATTAAGAAAAAGACTATTATAGAAACAAATTCTAAATTATTTTAAGGGACAGGCGGTACAAAAAGTTTACACTAACCCTCGTTGAAACACAAAAATCAGAAAATTTTATAGTGCGCAAAGGAAAAGATATGAAAAAGGGGAAAAGGAAGCATCAGTCGGCTTCCTGTAGACCACCCAATACAACAGAGCCGACAAACAAGCCAGCGGCACCAACGCAAAGAGCCCCGGCCACCACCGCCTGCACCGCCACGAGCCCCACCGAGTCATCGGGTATTACAATAATAGTAACAATGGCCGCCACCAATGCGGGAAGCGCCGCTGACGCCAGTGTGGAGGGGGACACAGTCGCCGCCTTCTCCAACAAGCTGAGTAGCCCCAGCTCCTCCGCCTTAGAAAACACGCCAAGCTTCTCTATAGACGAAAGCGTGAAGCCCAGCTCCTCCGCCTTGGACAACAGACCGGCTTTCTCCACGTTGCTCAGAACCTTCCGTTTCTCCAGCTTCTTGAACACATCCACCTGCACCTCTTCGCTTCCTTCGACAAAGATTCCGGCACCGTACCATTGTTTTTTCCAGTTTTCATCGTACTTGTTAACCTGCAACAATATTCACCCTCAATTTTTTCTGGGGAAACAAACATGGGATTGGGAAGCTGAAGCTGACTTAATTACCTTTTGTTTGGGTGCCATGGAAACAATTGTTAGAGGCCTTTTGGGGTAAAACTTGGGGTTGAATCGGGGCTGCTTGGAGAGGGGGAAGTGGGTCTGTTCGATTCTGCTAAAGGAAGCAACCGGAGATGGTGCCGAGATCGCCATTGATGAGTCACGGAAAGCTTTGGATTTTTCTTCCTGCTTGTGAATTTTTTGAGGATGCCAATGCCACGTTGGATGGTTTCTGTATTGTGTAATCTTCGGTTCCATTTGCTTCAACCAATGAAAATGGTTGTATCTTTATCTTGGGAAATAATGTTTGGGTAATTGCTCCTTGCCCCTTGTGGTTTTATGCTAGTGCACTTTGATACCAAGACAAAAATGAAATGCATTTCTGCCATCAATATGGGGCAATAGCACTTTATTGGGCCCGTTTGGTTTGGCTCTTCCTCAGAAAAAGACCCTAGGGAAGCTATGCCACAAAATTGTTTTAGCTTGACCCAAGATTTTAAGTTTACTTGCTAAAAACAAATGAAAATTATAATTAGTAATAAATTGATATAAAAAATAGTATTTATCTGTTTTAACTTTTAAAAATTAGGAGAAAAATCATCCAAAATTATGTCGTTTCGATAAATTTTAATTGAAAAAAATTATAATACATTATTTTTAAAGTATGAATCAGAGTATTTTTTGTTTTTTTTTAGTATTTTATTAAAATTACGTAATTTTAGAATAATTTTCTTCATAATATTTAGGTGGTAAGTGGATAAATATTAATCTTATTGATATATAATTGATTTTTTTTTATAAATATAGATATAATCAATTTTTTTTATTGCACTCGATTATATCATCCAAAAGGTCTTTTTTTTTTTTCTGAAATTTGTATAGAGAATAATTGTTTGGCCTTTATAATCTTTAAAGAATTAGAAAATCAATCCCACCCAATTTCTCAAAAAAGACTCAATAACATTAATTTTAAGACTCAAATTAAACAAAACAAACTCTTTGATTAGGCCTTTTGCATTCTTTCAAAATCTAACTCTTTCTCCCATAATTTGATTGGTAATGCATTCAACTAAAATAAAATAAAATTATTATATTGCTCTTTGATATTAGAAAAATAAAAATTTTGTCATTTTATGATTAACAAATCACAAGATCTTAAATTAAATTATTTATAAATAATAATATTATTATAAATTTTATATTAGCAAACGATATTAACTAATTTGATCCTCGTCACTTATAAAGCTATATAACAAATTAAATCATTTTAGTCCTAGATTTTTTTTAGATGAAGTTATGTGAAAAACGGCTTCGCTTCCCGAATTCTTTCTCCAGGAAAGGGTCAAACCAAACTCGCTCAAAGGAATTTGAGGGTCAGGGTGACTTAATAGGCAATGTACCAAGTCATGGTATACTTTAGCCCACTTAAAGAGAAAATGTTCAAATGAAAATACAATTTTTTTTATGTATTTTATTAAGAATATGAACTTTTCAATATTCAAAATGGATCATTTTAATTTTTTTAATGAAAATTTATTTCAATGATTAATTTTAGAGTATTTATCTTCTTAATTTTTTAAAAATTTAGTTGACCAACATTTTTTTAAAATTAACTATTCATAATAAATTTACATTTTTAAATACAATTTTATGAAAAAAAAAGGGTTGTGCAATGCACTATAAGTAGATTTGCTCGAAGGAAATAATTGCCGTTAATCCATAAGGCACTTGAGGTCCTTCTCCTCGACCCAATACTAGAGAAATTAAGTGAACAATAACAACTAAACTTCTAGGCCCTAGGGTGAGCTACTGTCGCAACGCCACCCTATTGATCACACTCATGTCACCAAGTTAAAATCAATTTTTAGCTCTCACCTTGTAAAATTGATAAGTTTTAACTCATAATCTTATAATATTATATTTTTAATCTTTTATCTTACAAAAGAGGTAAGTTTTAACCCCTCGCATTACAAAGTTAATAGTTTTTACCCTCTCACCTTATATTATTATATTTTAACCCTTTATCTGTACGAATTAAAGAAAATAACTCTTATTTAACATCAAATTATAATATTCTATTAGTTCTATTAGCTGATTGTTAATTTTGTTAATTAATTGTCAGTTTTGTTAGTTGACTATTAGTTCTGTTAGTTGACTGTTAATATCTGTTAGCTGATTATTAGCATCTGTTAGCATTCCGTTAATGGAACTAACAAATAAAATTGAATTTAAATTTTATGTTTTTTATAATAGAATGCTAACAGATATTAACAGTCAACTAACAGATATTAACAGTCAACTAACAAAACGTTATAACCTGATGTTAGGTGAGACCTATTTTCTTTAATTCGTATCGGTAAATGGCTAAAAATATCATAATTTAAGGTAAGGGGTTAAAACTTATCAATTCTGTAAGGTAAGAGCTAAAACTTATAAACTTTATAAGATAAAGGGTTAAAATTATCATGTTATAAGGTGATGGGTTAAAACTTATCAATTTTGTAAGGTGAGGGGCTAAACATTGGTTTTTGCCCATGTTACCATACCTTTTCTCCAACCCGAAGACTTCTCCAGCAAGGTCTCCTTCCTCATTTCCATATCTTTCCTCTTGCTGCCTTCCTTGAGCGCCATCATCTCTTATTCATATCCTCCTTTCCCTCAAAGGCAGCCTTCTCCACTCTTCTCTAACTTTTTAAATTATACGTTTTTTAAAAATTTTTTTTCAAATTACAAAAAAAGAGGTTTCTCTTTTTGTCTCTACACATTTTTAAGTCTTCTATTTTAATACCTAGGCATATTACTCTCATGCCAAAATTGATCCAATTTAATAATCTTACCCAATTTAGAAGAAAAATGTTCAAATAAAAATACGAATTTTATTTTTTTTATGTCAAAATATAATTTTTTCCATTTTCTTTATTTAAAGATACAAGTTTTATCCTATTTGGATTAAAATTGTTGTATGTTACATTATCATCACTGTCCAACAAATCATTACATATATAAGTTTAGAGAATAATGCTTATCCGCCTTACTTCCTAAAAATTAGGAAGAATATTATTTCAAAACTATATCATTTTAATAAATACATATTGAAAAAGATTAAAATATCTTATCTTTAAAGCATGTATTATGATGTTTTTTATCCTTTTTCCTCTTATTTTTTGTAAACAAGGCAGACAAACACTAACCTCATAAATTTATATCATTATTTTTCTTTTCTAAAAGAAAGAAAGTTCACTACCAAATTACAAATTTTAAAAACTTTATATCCTTAAATAAATAATAACAAAATTTATATTCATATCTACATACTTTCTCCCAACTCCACCCAATTAAAGTGGATCATGCATTAGATTTCTAACCCATTATTCATTTGGATCTAATCTATCTAATTTGTCAGTTAAACGGGTTAGATTATGAATTATTAGACCATGAAAATAAAAAAACCCTAAAACTAAAAGTCTTAAATGACTAAATCTTAAACACAAAACCAAATGGTGAAATCTAAAACACAAAGCCAAACACTGAGAAACTCTTACAACAATGGTTTGGTCGACTAGGTTGATAAAATGAGAAAGAGGTTTATGACTGAATAGAAAATGGATTAATGTATTGAATAATTAAGAATGAAAATGAAATTGTTTTTAAGTTTTAACTTTAAACATACTTTTTTATGTTTAATTTAGTTATTTCACTTTATCTATTTGTGATTATTAAAATTTTTTATTTATTATAATAATTTTGATTTATCTTTTTATTTTTATCTTTACTTATAATTAAACAAGAAAATTCTAACACAATTTTCTCTCTTTAAGGGATAAGAATAGAATTAAAATACTTATTTAAATTTAATATTTTATTAAAATTGAAATTGAGACAACCAAATCAAACCACCCATATTAAAAAGTGAGACAATGAAATTACACAAGATGAGTAATTACTTGATAAAAAAAGAGAAAAGCAGCAAAAACGAACACAAACTTTTTTTATTTTTTTATTAAAGGATATAGATTTTTAGGGTTTTAAATCAAATAGTAAATTTTTATTTTTTTTAAATAAGGATACGAATTTTACTTTTTTTTTTTACTTAAGAATTTATTAAATGGGTATGATAACATGACAAATGATAGTTTTAATTAAAATAGGGCAAATTTCATATCCTTAAATAAAATAAAATAAAATAAAATGACAAAGTTTATATTTTTAAACAAAAAAAAAAA